CTCATTTTAATCCAATGCTGGCTGCAGCCGTGATTTCTATTCCCACACAGCCATTCCTTGTGCAGAGAACAGCGGGGCTCACACACGTAATACAGAACCTTCTGCCATACTTCCCCTCACCAGGCGGCTAACTCTGGAAATAGATCTGATCTCACTGTGCATTTTTCTGCCTCACAATTTATAGTTCTTCGGCAGCAAGCAACCTTCCCGCCCCCTGGTCTTTGGTGAGTGGGAACAAAGATCTGAGAGCTGATCTGCTGAGCTCTGCTCACATGTTAGCTGCTGCAGGCAGATGATGGTATCTTCCTTCCTCCTTTGCCATGCAGAGAAAGGGGTGCAGAGAATGGTAGAGAGCAAGAGGAATCTAACTTCAAAGGCCTAGCTAGGGTCTTCAGGGCAGCATTTTTGGCTCAGTTCACTAAGGAAAGCAGCAAGCAGTTGGTGCGAGTGTCACTCCACAACCATAATCACAGCCAGGTTTTCAAAGGAGCTTTGTGCACCCCACATGCTAACCGTTGTGGAAATCTAGTCCATAGTGTGTGAGACAATAGTGCCCAACCCCCTGGCCTGCAGACCAGATCCAGGCTACTTGCTGCGTTTATATGGCCTCCACAGTTTATGGCCATTCTGCAGAATTTCAGTTTCAGTTTTAAAAGTTTCTGGCTCTCACCATTGCAAAGAAAACCTTCCAAACACAAAGGGTGCATAACCACTGTGGCGTGACCTTCCTGGGTCTGCAGGCAGCCTGGCATGATGACAAAGGGGTGGGAACTACCCCCCCCCACCCGCGGAGTTTCACTAGGGGTTGACACTGAAGCCTTCGCAGGCTTTCGCTTTGCAGGTTGGCATCCACTCTTTCAATGCAGATGGTTGCAGTGGGTGGGTTGGAGGAGGAGGTGTGAAGCCCACGGGGGTGGGAGGGGAGCGGGGAGTTGTTGCAGGAAATCAAAGGCAGAGGGAAGAAAGCGAGGCACGAAGACAGGAGGGAGGGAGAGAAGCAGAGAAGGGGGGCCAGGATTAGCACTGGTCCAGGGTGAGTGCAGGGTGCGGGAGGGACCCCTGAGGCTGATGATGGGGGTACTCTGTGCCAGCCCCTCTTCCCGCCATCGGGAGACCCCCTGGGCGGGCGGGGACCACCATCGGGCCCCCGGAGTCGGCTCACCGCC